AGTTGTTATTCCTAGGATTCCGATGATCCCAACAGATATGCCCTTTGAGTTTAAATGAATTCAATTCCCAATTCGTCTTGCCTTCGCCATGACGATCAACAAATCACAGGGCCAATCTTTGACTATTTGTGGCCTCAATCTAGAAAATGCGTGTTTTTCTCATGGTCAATTGTACGTGGCATGCTCACGTGTTGGCAAACCATCCGTATTATTTGTTTTTGCACCTAACCGAAAAACAAAGATTATCGTTTATCACAAGGTGCTTGAATGAAAATCCCATTAAAAAATTAATCAGAGTGTATCCCAACCTGAACAACATAGCTCTCAACAATTTTGTACCTAGAAATAATGGATAGGGCAATGCAACGTTTTTCGGGCCAGCTAGTTATCTTATATATGTAAGACAGCTAAAGTATGCTGAGTAATTCTATTCATCACGAAATAGTCATACGCAATCCCATTATTAATTTAGCTACGCCCATTATACAAAGTTTGATTGATTAACACTCAAGAAAAAGTAAACTATTTTATTTGAAATCAGTTACAATTTATATTGCGTGTATATAAACAACATGATTTATATGTAGAACTAACTTTTCTCAAAATTTATATAGAAAAGAAGAGTAGGCTAACGCTTATATATTTATTAAATCGAAATGACATGTTTTGTATTTAGTTGAATTTCAAAGGTACATGAAATATTAAACAAAACAATAAAATTAGAAAAAACATATATGTATATCTGTGTATATTTCTATAGGTTGTTGTTCTTTCTGTTGCTGTATGTACTAAAACATACACATACGTAGGTACTATAAATCCTGCCTTCAGTTATATCTTTACGGATGGGCTTCAACATTAACATTCTTTTGTGCACTTAGGTATATGCTGTACTTTAAATATATATATATATACATATACATATATTTATATTTGTGGCTAAACTGTGTTTTTCGTTCGCAGTATATTTTTTTCTTTTTGTAGTACATTATGCTAAAAAAATTCAATTTCTTGATATTTATAAAGCTTCATGGGCTCTTGCCTATGCTTATTTGATAGGAAGTGGATAATAAAATATATCTTACTCATCTACATATGCATTTAAGAATTACAAATATGCCTTTGATAGATAAGTAGTGTACATAGATATATGAAAATATTGGAAACTCGTGAAAAATATTATTCATTTCTCAAAAATATGCATACCCAAAAGGTTTACTTGACATTGCGATTCCTCTATGCGTACGTACATATAAAACTACAAAAGAACAACAAAATGTCTATATCATGAAAATTTAAAAGATCCTTGTAAAAATTCTCTATTCAAAATATCTGTATATATGAATATATATGTATTTAGATATATGTTTATGTACGAGTATATATGTTAGTATATATACACACATCAATGTATGTGTATATTATTTAGAAGGTACAAAGTAGGTTTTCATTAAAAATATTTATATATAACTACACTGGTCTTACACTTATTTGTTTGCTATGCCAACAACTAATTCTCTATCATGTATAAATGTCAAGGTTAAAGAACTTAATTTGTTTATGGTACTTCTACTTATATGGTTCTTCATGATATGTAAAGGCTAGAAAATGGCAACATTTTCGAGTATCGGATTTCGAATTCCTTTAACAAAATGGTCTACCCAAGTTAAAAACCTATTTGATTGCATTGTCGTCTTCCCGGGGCTCAAACCAATTTTGTCCTAGTATATTCATTTTTCTGTTGCTTTCATTTACCTAGTTTCAGATATCCGATTCTAACCGTTACTCATGCCTTAATCTTATGGATTAATTAAGTAGGTTTAAATAAGTGCTTTATATATCAATTTACCTATTTTGGGTATATATTTTGTAAAAACAATGGCTGTCTACTGGACATATATATATATTATTTTCGGCCTTGTGTTAAACATTAAGTGGATATATTACATACACATTTGGATTTATATTTAACATTTAATTTATAACAATGAGTTATAAAAATACAATAGAGTGATATTCTGTTATTCAGGTATCACCAATAATATGAAAATAATTGTGCCTCCAAAAGGCTGAAGAGATATGTTTTCCATTTCAGGCATAAATAATTATTGTACTTAGTCTTTAAATTTGTTTTTATAGCCATAGAGAATATATTTGTTAAACATAAGTGATTTCTCATATCTCTAAAGGCTGTACATTAGTTACTTGCTATCTAATTTCGTATGATACCGATTTGTATATATATGGTTGCCCTTCCAAAAAATGTAATGTATGTGCATAAGTACAGGTATATGTGTTTGTATATGGTATAAAATATTAGGTTGAGATAAATAATATACAAGTTGTAAATATATAGATGTATATGCAGAGTTTACCGCCAATTTATCACAAAACCACAATTGAAGGCTATGAATCGAAATTGAAAGAAAAACTCAATGCTTTTAGAGAACATTGCCATCATCTAATATTTTCTTTGCTGTAACTTTAACTTTAGCTTTAAACTCAACTGTATCATAGTGAACAGATTATAAGATAGCTTACATATATCTTAGACTATGAAATACTTATGCTCGTATCAATTATGTATACTATTATCTTAGATATTAGTTTGTGAGTTTGTGTGCAGCGCAGTATGTGTCAGACACAAATCACATAAAGGTACTTAAACTCTCTCTTTGTGCACCAGGTCGTGCACAGGTCGTATAAAAGCTCGAACCAAGACATAATGGATGACAACCAAAATGTACGAACTGGATCTATGTATCATATATAACGTATTTGCAAAAATTGAAAAATATAATAATTGTTTTTTATAATTAAGAAGCATTATTTATGCTTTGTTTAATGCGCATCTGGTACTTAATACGATTGACTAGAAGTAAGCTAAAGGCAAGAGTGGATACTGCATGAAAGAGCTCTGATTTGTGCTCGAAGGCAAGCGAAATAGGTTATTCGAATCAGAATCGGAAAAAGGGTGTAAGAAAAAGTCAATGTATAGTGTAAGGGGATTACGGTAGCGGATGTATGGGTGGATGTGCGTGTTCCGTGCATTGATTTTGACAGTTTGAAATTAAACAATTTAACAATTAACGTCAACAAGTTGTGAATTCTTTTTTTCTGTGTGGCTGACAAGTCACGAATAGCTTCGACTTGAAACAGTCCTTAAATATTCATGAGCAACTCTCATTACGCACTGGTCAGTGGCCAACGGTTAGTTGAGGTGCCTGTACCAAGCAATGGGTCGCAAGTAGGACCTGTTGGCCTACGAATAGGGATACCGTGTAGTACAGAGGGTGTAGGGGTGGGTCTATCATACGCATGCTACTAAATATGAACTGATGCAAATTAAATTATATATCTTTTTGATATCTACATTCAATATAGCATGCTAGCACTTTTTTTCTTTTATTGCAACCATCTCTATCTCAGGTTCATTGAGATCGCTTAGAGCTATGTACACGCTGGATTGTTAAATATTCAATGCTATTTTCTATTTACGTAATCTACCGTCTTAGGAGCTAAACATAAAGGAAGCAAAGTTATGGCGCCTAAAAGGGCAACGTGGTAACGAACATCCTCTCAATAAGTGCCGGTGCTGGCACCAAATCCTCTAATTTAAGGTAGAATATACGCTGCAGTCCCTGTACGCTCAAGGAGCGTAGCTCGGGCAGTTTGCCCAACAGGCGACTGAAGTAATGCTGTTTCTTTTGAGCCTCCGCATTGTAGGTAACATGGTCACGTAGACTGCCGATTATCTTCATTTGTAGTTGCTCCACCTTTTTGGGTTCCCGAAGTCCGTGTCGTTCTGTAACAGAAAGGAGAGAGCTGTAGAGCTGTTGTGTGTGTGTGTATGTGTGTGTGTGTGTATGTATGATGAGGCGGCTATCCACTAACCTGTTATCAAGGTGAGGGCGCAGAGGCAGGCGAAGGCAGAGATGTCAATCTCCAGATTGTGCAGGCTGCGGCTGAACTCCATGATACCATTTAACCAATCGCCAAAAGAACGCTGGCACTGGGTACGATGTAAAACAGTACCGTTACAGAAGATCATCTTTGTATCGTCGCTGCGAGCGCGATAAGAGAGCCGTAGCACAAACAGCTCCAGCGAGGCGGATTGGAAGAGAAGCTCTTGGTCCTCGGATGTGAGCTCCAAATAGCCGGGAATCTTTTCAGCGAATTGCCTGATCACATCAACCGAGCTGGTCAGCAATTGGTAGAACTGTTGAACCTTTTCGGCCTCGCTCATCCCTAGGGGACTCGCTAGAGTTGGCGGACTTAACGAATCCAGGGGCTCCACGTAGTGGGAATAGTCCAGGCACGAGGGATCTGGTGTTGTGTCCACGTGACTTCGCACCAGAGCAGTTATTAACGAGATGGGCGGCGATGGGGGAGACTCCTGCGGTGACTTTGGCTTTGAGGGTAGACGTCCACGGCGGCCCTTCAGTGAGTCCGTGCGCACTACTTCCTTCACCATGCCCACCACCAGGCACTTTTGAAAACGACAGAATTGGCAACGATTCCGTCTCCGCTTGTCGACCGGGCAGCTCTTATCCGCCAGGCACACATACTTGGAGCCCTTCTGTACGGTCCGCTTGAAGAATCCTTTACAACCCTCGCAGGTTCTAACCCCGTAATGCTGGCAGGCAGCCGTATCACCGCACACGGCGCACAACTGCGAGAAATTGGTCGACTGAAGCAATCGTCCTGCCTGGCTGTTCAGAAAGTCAGCGCCACCCCCGCTCACAGGTGAGTTTGCAGTGGAGTTGGGTGCCGAGCTCAGTTGTATCTGCAGCGCATTAATGGCATGAGTGTTCCTAGAGCCAACTAGCGCCAGCTTTGCCACCTTGGGGCTGTGCGCAGCAGCAGCGGGAGAAACGGAGCGCTGTATGGGCAACGAGGCTCGGCGCATGGGTGGAACAACCACAGCAGACCCTGTGCTCACGCCTGAGCCAGGAGCGGCGCTACTTACTGCGGCGGCCGCCTCCATCTCGGAAATGGTGGGAAATGTGGGTAGGGAATAACGTTCGCCGTTGTGCGAGCTGTAATTCTGTACGGATTCCCAACATAATCAATACAATAGGTAATAGGTAATGATTGTAAGCAGTTCTACTTACCATGTTTTGATAGGTTTGCTGTTGTTGTTGCTGCTGCTGTCCAAAGAAACTGTCGCTGTGGGCCACACCGCTGTATTCATAGAGTGAGCTTGCTGATGAGCTGGGTGATGGATGGGAAGTGCCATTGATGGCATTGAAGTAACCATGGTAATTGTATCCACTGCTGTTGCTACTGCTGTTGTTGGCGTTGTTTGGCCGAGGTGGCTGAGCTTGCAGCTGGTGCAGCGACTGTCCTGAAGCATGGTCGGTATTTAGGTCAGCCATTACATCCGCAAAGCAGTCCTCGTCCATTTTTAGAGTCAAGATCTGGTCGGATGGCGTCGCAGTAGCAGTAGTAGAAGGGGAGGCCTGTTTTGGACTGTTGGCGCTGCTGCTGTTGTATTTGAGAGAGTAGGTTTCCTGGAAGCTAGGTAAGCTACTGCCACAGGAGAGTGGTCCTCCAATGGGTGAGATCAGTAGGTCGCTGGTGCCGTGTCGCTGCAGATAGGTGGCCTGGAGCTGCTGTTGCTGCAGTTGCTGTTGTTGGTGAGTGTGAAGTGCGATAGCGGGATCGCTGCTAGATCGAAGACTGAGCAGGCAAATCGAGTGATGATTCTGCTCGGAGCCTACGCTGCCGTTACTGTTAGAGGGCGGCTGGTCTTGAGTTGAGGGCAAGCGCTTATCGCGCAGGCATGTCAGCTTGGTGAGATTCTCAATGGAGCTGGTGATGTCCTCGCTACTGCCAATCAGCGTCTCATTGGACGGGGGCACATCAATCTGCGTGTCTGGGTAGCTGGCGACCGATCTTTCAAGAACTGGGGAGAGCAGCGAATTGTTCGAGTCCGATGGAAAAAACAAGTCCGAGAACAGTTCGCTATGCGTGACGGCCGCATCGGCTAGGTTGCTTATCAACTGATCCTCCTCTTGGGACAACAATGTAACCTGGCTTGACGTGGTCAGCGGTAAGTGCTGCTGCTGCTGCTGCTGTAGCGCTTGCTGCTGATGGTGATTGTGATACTGATGGCGATTGTGATGATGATGTCCAGCACCAGGCGCGACGGCAGCTACTGTGGACGTGCTTGTTGTCGTTGCCACGGCTTGCGTTGAAAAGTTGTCGAACGACGAAAGTGAACTAAAGGAGCTCTGCAATGGAAGAAAGTCCGACATAGACTGAATTAGCGCCTCTTAACCGAGTCGTAAGATAGTGTCTAGCATTAGATAAGGGCGGAGTCAAGTCGTCTGCTAGACATGCGCGAAATCACCGTCGGCGCTGATTGGTGCACGGATTACAACCCCTATTAACAGGGCAGCCATATAATTGTGTTACTCTGTTCATGAACGTAAACCGAGATTTGTCGTGATGCTTACATTTGTAACTTAGTTGCGACTTAATACCATTGTAAGGCTGAAGTATCGTTTTAGTCAAAAGCTTGGCATCTTGTATTTACACCCAATTCATAAATCATAATTGGTTTTAAAACTTGTTCAACCAACCCTCATTAAGGACTTGATTTCAATGAGCAAGGAATATAGGCATGAATCTAACCATAATAATTGTAATTAAGAAATGTTTCTAAAATCCCTACTAGTCTAATTGGTTATGCTTGACGCATTAGCTGGCGCTATTTGCCAACAAACATATTTTACAAAATATTGAATTAGGCAGCTATTGTGGTAGATGTTGTTATTGTTTGGGTGGTGTGCCTTCTCTATCTCTATAAGCTCTTCGCAGTTGGTAATCAAGAAACCATTGACCAAAAATTTGTCTTGCTGCGACGCCCTTTTTGTTAAGGATGGCAAAATGCACAACATCTGCTTTATTATTTATCTCTGCCTAGTTTTTGTGATCTGTGAGGACTTGCATTATATATAGGATGTTAATTTGAAATGGAACTCACATTGGGCTGCAAAAGTAACATGCTTGTGGTCGCTGGGCTATGGAGCCTCGGTTGGCTGCTCTTAGGCGATGCTGCAGATGGTGTTGTTGTTGATGTAGTTTTGGTTGTTGTTGCTGCAATTTTCGCACCTGTTACATTAGTATCGACCTTTGCAGATCTAACTGGAGATATTCGTTCAGTTTTCAAGTTATTCGGCTGGCCGACTTTCCGGATATGCCTAAAGCTTTGCTCGGCTGACTTTGTGGGGTGCGTATCACGTTTTTCTGTTACTGTTGTTTCAGTTTCTGCACCTGCAAGGATTCCAATAAGGACAAACATTAAGTGTTGGCATTTAATATGCTTCGCTGAAAATTTGAAAATTCGTTAACTTGTAAATGTTAAGCGGTGTCTGGGGCGTCATAATTTATTCCAATATGCCATGCTTCCCTGCCATACGCTGAACTGCACTTTTGTCACTCTGTCAGTCGCACAGATATGTACGGATTCATACGGCAAACATTTCGAGATGTGGTTTCCCAATCGTCTTGCGTTCCACACGCAAGCAACCGTATCGAATGTCTTAATTAGAAATGCCTCTACAAGTCTCTCCTTGAGTTAACCTATGCAAGAGACTTCTGTGTGAGACAAGGAGGACGGCAGGCGGAGGTCAGAGGTCGCTGGTTGCCAAAAGCTAAGCTCACGTTGCCGCCTGCGATGCGGCACCCGATTTGTTGACTCTGGCCAACAGAGGATCGCATCTCAATCTCTTGGTTAATGCAGCACATTAAATGAAATAAATTGTGCTGTCCGCTGCAGCACCTCGAGTCCGCGGCTAGCCCTCGCCCGACCCCCTTGGCGGGTGTTCGCTTTTGATTAAAATAAATATTATGGCTTATTCGAATTGCAAAACTGCACTTAGACGTTTCGTTTTGCTGTTCGCTGTCACTGTTGTTGTCGATTTTCATATTTGTTTCACAAAAACATTTCTCATAATTTATATAATTTTGTAAAACTCTTGACAATTGTTAGGATTCCCTAAACGATTTGATAACTTCACATTTTACCTTTGCAAGTAAGAAAAACTTCTTATTGTTTTTTCTTCTATTAAAACTATCTTAATTACACTTATTCACGAAAGTGAAATGAGTAAAAATCTTGCACGTGAGCTAATGCCATGATTCTATAAAGATTGGTGAACAAATGAGATGTCTACGCCGACTATGGGCGTGGCAAATCGGACCTGAAGTAATACTGATTTTTCAAATTCTGCTATATTTAGGGCAGTATAGATGGTAGAGATATGGCAGATATATGTACGCCCACAAGGTGAAAGGGTATGTAAAGGGTAAATTTTGATAATTAAGTTGCTAGTAGCCTCTCTATCGATGACCCAAAAATCATTATTGTGTCTCTTAAAAGGCGTTTCTACATATCTCTCCCCTTTCCTGAAATTCGTTCTTTTATTGCCCAAGATAAATTCCAAGTAAAACAAGTAAGAAAGCTCTAGTCGAGACTGCTCGACTACGAGATCCCCT